TTTGAGACCAGCCTGGCCAACATGGTGAAACCCCGTCTCTACTAAATATACAAAAATTAGCTGGGCATGGTGGCGTGTGCCTGTAATCCCAGCTACTCGGGAGGCTGAGGCAGGAGAATCGCTTGAACCTTGGAGGTAGAGGTTGCAGTGAGCCAAGAATGCCCTGCTGCACTCTAGCTTGGGCAACAAAGCAAGACTCTGTCTCTAAAAAAAAAAAAAAAAAAGAAACACTGGACTTAATCTCTATTACAGATCAAATAAATCTAATAGATACTTATAGAATATTTCATCCAATGGCTGCAGAATACACATTCTTCTCCTCAGAACATGAATCATTCTCAAGGACAGATGATATGTTATGCCACAAAACAAGTCTTTACAATTTCAAAACTCTGAAATAATATATATCTTATCTAACCTACAACAGAATAAAACCAGTAATCAATAAAAAAAAAAAACTTTGGAAATGATACAAACATATGGAAATTAAACAATATGCTCCTGAATGACCAGTGGGTCACTGAAGACATTAAGAAGCAAATTAAAAATTTCTTGAAGCAAATGAATATGGAAACACAAAACACCAAAACCTATGGGATAGGCAAAACAGTACTAAGAGGAAAGTTTATACTAATAAGCACCTACATCAAAAAAGTAGAAAAACTACAAATAAACAACCTAACGACACATGATAAAGAACTAGAAAAGCTAGAGAAAATCAAGCCTAAAATTAGTACAAGAAAAGAAATAAAGATCAGAGTAGCAACAAATGAAATTAAAACAAACAAAAAATAATACAAAAGATCAACAAAATGAAAAGTTTTTAAGAAAGATAAACAAAATTGCCAAATCTTTAGCCAAAGAAGAAAAGAGAGAATACCCAAATAAATGAAATCAGAGATGAAAAAGGAGACATCACAATTATACCACAAAAATTCAAAGAATCATTACAGACTACTATGAGCAACTATATGCCAATAAGTTGGAAAACCTAGAAGTAATGGATAAATTCCTAGATGCATACAACCTGCCAAGATTGAACCATGAAGAAATCCAAAACCTGAATACAGCAATAAGTAATGAGATTGAAGCCATAATAAGTCTCCCAGCAAAGAAAAGAACCAATAGTTTCACCGCTGAAGTCTACAAAATATTTAAAGAAGAACCGATACCAATCCTACTCAAACTATTCTGAAAAACAGAGAAGGAAGGAATACTTCTATACTCATTCTACAAGGTCGGTATTACCCTGCTATTAAAACCAGACAAAGACACATCAAAAAAAGAAAACTATAGGCCAATATCTGATTAACATTGATGCAAAAATCCTCAATAAAATGCTAGTACACCAAATTCAGCAACATATTAAAAACATCATGCATCATGACCAAGTGGGATTCATCCCAGGGATGGCAGGATGGTTCAACATATGCAAATCAATCAATGTGATACATCATATCTGCAGAATGAATGACAAAAGCCATATGATCATTTCACTTGATGCTGAAAAAGCATTTGACTAAATTCAATTGCTTCATGATAAAAACCCTAAAAAAACTGGGTATGGAAGGAACATTCCTCAACATGATAAAAGCTATATGCAACAGACCCACATCTAGTATCATACTGAATGTGGAAAAACTGAAAGCCTTTTCTCTAAGATCTGGAATATGACAAAGATGCTTACTTTTACCACTGTTATTCAACATAGCATTGGAAGTGCTAGCTAGAGCAGTCAGACAAGAGAAAAATATAAAAAGCACCCAAATTGGAAAGGAAGAGATCAAATTATCCTCCCTTGCAGATGATACAATATTTGGAAAAACCTAAAGACTCCAACAAAAAACCATTAGAATTGATAAGCAAATTCAGTAAAGTGGCAGGATACAAAATCAACATACAAAAGTTAGTAGCATATCTTTTTTTTTTTTTTTTTAAGATGGAGTCTTGCTCCATCACTTAGGCTGAAGTGCAGTGGCAAGATCTTAGCTCACTGCAACCTCTGCCTCCCAGGTTCAAGCAATTCTCCTGTCTCAGCCTCCTGAGTAGATGGGACTATAGCCTGCCACCACACCAGGCTAATTTTTGTATTTTTAGTAGAGATGGGGTTTCATCTTGTTGGTTGGGCTGGTCTCGAACTCTTGACCTTAGGTGATCCAACCTCCTCGGCCTACCAAAGTGCTGGGATTACATGCGTGATGCACCACGCCTGGCCAATTAGTAGCATTTCTATATGCCAACAGTGAACAATATGAAAAAGAAATTAAGAAGGTAATCCCATTTATAATAGCTACAAAGAAAACACATAGGAATAAATTTAACCAAAGAAGTAAAAGATTTCTATGATGAAATATAAAACATTTTTGCAAGAAACTGAAGTGGACACACAGAAAAAGGAAAGACATTCCTTGTTCATGGATTGGAAGAATCAATATTGTTAAAATGTCCATACTTCCCAAAGCAATCTATGAACTCAATGCAATCCCTATCAAAATACCTTCATGGAAACAGAAAAAATAATCATAACATTTATACAGAACCACAAAAGACCCAGAACAACCAAAGCTATCCTGAGCAAAAATAAAAACAAAACTAGAGGAATCATGCTACCTGACTTAAAATTATACTACAGAGCTATAGTAGCTGAAAAAGCATTTTCATCATGGAACTAAAAACAGACACATAGATCAATGGAATAGAATAGAGAACCTACAAACAAATCCATGTATGGACAGTGAGCTCATTTTGACAAAGGGGTTAAGAACATATATTGGGGAAAGGACAGTCTCTTCAATAAATGGTGCGGGGAAAACTGGATATCCTTATGCAGATGATTAAAACTAGATACCTATCTCTTGCCATATATAAAAATCAAATCAAAATGCATTAAAGACTTACATACTTAAATCTATGATTTGAAACTATGAAACTACTAAAAGAAAACATTGGGAAACTCACCAGGACATTGGACTAGGCAAAGGTTTCTTCAGTAATACCCCATAAACACAGGCAACCAATGAAAAAACAAACAAATGGGATCATATCAAGTTAAAAAGCTTCTGTATAGCAAAGGAAACAATCAAGAAAGTGAAGAGAACGCAACAAATGGGAGAAAATATTTGCAAACTATGCATCTGAGAAGGAATTAGTAACCAGACTATATAAACAACTCCATAGGAAAAAACATACAACAATTCAATTTAAAAATGGGTAAAAGAGCTGAATAGATGTTTCTCAAAGGAAGACATACAAATGGTAAACAAGTACATGAAAAGGTGCTCATCATTATTGATCATCAGATAAATGCAAATCAAAACTATAATGAGATATAATCTCTTCCCAGTTAATATGGCTTTTATCCAAAAGACAGGCAATAATGAATGCTGGTGAGGATGCGGAGAAAGGGGAACACTTGTACGCTATTGGTGGGAATGTAAATTGGTACAGCCACTAAGCAGAATAGTATGAAGGTTCTTCAAAAAACTAAAGACAGAACTACATATGATCCAGCAATGCCTCTACTAGGTATATATCCAAAAGAAAGGAAATTGGTATATTGAAGAGATATCTGCACTTCTATGTGTACTGCAGCATTATCAAGCTGAGTGTCCATCACCAGATGAATAAACAAAATGGGGTACATATATACAATGGAGTACTGATTAGCTATAAAAAAGAATGAGATCCTGTCATTTGCAACAACATGGAAACTGTAGGACACTGTTAAATGAAATAAGCCAGGCACAGAAAGACAAACTTTGCATGTTTTCACTTATTTGTGGGAGCTAAAAATTAAAACAATTGAACTCACGGAGATAAATAAAGATGGTAGAATGATGGTTACCAGAGGGTGGAGAGGGTGGGGAGGGGGAGTGGGAAATGGGGATGATTAATGGGTACCTCAAAATATAGTTAGATACAATGGATAAGTTCTGACAGCACAACAGGGTGATTACAATCAGCAATAATTTGTTGTACATTTTAGAATAAATGAGGGAATACAATTGGAATGTTTGTAACACAAAGAAATGATGAATGCTTGAAGTGATGGATACCCATTTACCCTGATGTGATTATTATCCATTGTATACCTGTATCAAAATGTCTCACATGCCCCATAAATATATCCACTACTATGTACCCCACAAAATTAAAATTTTTAAAAAGTCTTCATTTGGTAGTATCTTCTAAGAGACTATGGATGCTAAGTTGTTGGTTTTTTCCTCTCCAAATTTTGGGTGTTTTGGTTCCTAAGTATTTAAAGCCTTTATTATTTCTTTTTCTTCTCTGTCCCTCTCAGTTTATATCCATATTAGGGACTTAGATCAGTTTTTTTTTTTTTTTAACATCCAATGTCTAAATTATCAGTGTTTAATGATTTTTATGTATCAGTTTAATCTTTTACAACCTGGCATTTTTTGCAAGCTATCATTGAGCCGTGACTGAATAAACAAATATGCACCTAAAAAGTTTACTTATGATGAGGAATCACAGAATTTATATCAAAATTCAACTCTGCAAATGGTTGTAATGAGAGCCCAATGAATGAAGGAAAAAAAAAAGAGATGCAAAATCATGAGAAAAAATAGGAAGGTTAATACAAATCAACTATTTGCTTGACCAATCTGTCTAGATTTTAAGACTCAAAGTGATTCTCTTAAGAGGTAATTTTAAGCCAGGCAATTTATTTAAAGCTATCTGATGAAATTGGTAAGACAAAAATAACTTCTGAGCAATGAACTTCTTGCTAGTCATTTGAGAAAAGTACATTGTCATAAATGACAGAATCTTAATGATAGCAGAATACTTTAGTCACAGGAGAAACTCTATTAAATTCCTTGATGGATATACTCAATGGCACTTACACTTTCACAAGAAAGCAATGCTGAAAATCCATCAGAATAAAACAACACATCTTCCATATGTTACAGCCTATCTCCAAGGACAGGAAGCAGAATACATATTTGGAAAATCATTAATGCAAAAGCCTCTTGTCTTACCCGTTCATCTGTTGAATGATGGGAATAATTGATGAGACCAGGGATGGGCTGTTCACCGTGTGCCATGACAACAGCAGGACTGGTGTAGAATGGATGCTTCTAATGCACAACACATAACAACTATGAATATAGTGACAGGAAAACATGAAACTATACAAACAAAATGACTAAAAAGGAAAAAAGGTAAAAACAAATGGAAAAATGAAATGCTAACATTTTCCAAATGTAGAATGACAGAATCAGCTTAGATTTTAAATGCCATAAGCTTCTCTCCTAAGATTGAAATTTATGGCACTTCTTACTCTTTTAATTCAGAGTAAAGGAAAAAGAATATATAATGATTTAAAAATGCACTTATTTCACCAATTAGTGTCATTAAAAAAACACACAAAACTTAATACTTACTAGCCTTAAGTAAGCACTTACTGGGTCACTGAATGGATACTTCAAAAGGATTTCTCGATGATTCTAATCTATATGTTGTTAAAAAAATACCTCACTATGCTCATAGCCAAAATAACTGGATAATCCATAAAACTCTGAGAATTACTTCATATAGCAATTAAATTTTCAATCTTTATGCTCTTAATGAAAAATCATAATCTCCAGAATTGATATACTACTTTCTGAAGATATTAAGGCATACTAGGTGGACTTTAGTAGGTATGAAGAATAAACCATGTTCTATAACTTTAAGACAGTTAAATTTACTCAAGTAACTCATGGTAGTATATTTACCCGTGGAGTTGTCCAAAGAGAATTTGTAATACTTTGGTATTGTCCTAATATTTATTACTTTATTAAATTAAAGATGCAAATATATCCATTTCCTATCTTTGCCACTAGGGTAATTTGTGCCAAGCAATATTTGAATAAGTTATTAGTTAAGAAAAATTCAACAATTGCTGAAAAGCTTTGTCCCTTTAAAAATCTTTATTAATCTTTCCCAACTCATTTCTTGAATCACCTAAGGTCTTTTACCTTCAGTTTTCTGTTCCCTCAAGAATTTGTGAAGTTTTGATATTTTGAATATATAAACATTATATATTTAATATGTCCACAAAAATGACATCTCCAAAGAGTTCTAAAATGTCACATTGTATATCATTGTAGCTATTACTTCAATAGGCAACAGCTCATCAGTAATGCCTCAGAACTCAGAATAAATTTCAGTGCCTTCAAGGAATCTATATCAAGAAGGAAACATAGTAGTGAAGTGTCATGGACATCCCAGTTATTTTTTTAGGGTTCTCTGAAGAAGTATTAAATGTAGGGAGGGATGTGATGGAAAACAGATGAAACCAGTACATTTACCTGTGGGTCCTTTAGGCCTCTTGAGTATCTCTCATTAGGCTTACCTTGGCAGCAATGGCTGCTGCAGTTATATGTGATGAGGAACTATCTTCTGTTGAAGCAACACCACTGTCTTTCTTCTCTTCTTCCTCTTCCTCACATTGAACCCCTTTGTCTTCTGTCTGTTTATGGGGGCTGGTTGTAGGAGGAGGGGAGAGAGGGGGTGGTGGGGAAGGCAAATCTTCTAGTTCATCATGCACCTCCTTTACTTTTACAATGGCATCACGTAAAAGGTCAATGGCATGAGGTAGAGCTGGCAGTATGAATTGAAAGCATTCCTGTATGCAAGAGAAAGAAAAAAAATTAAGATGAAGCACTTTTGTAATTATATAAGATGGTGGCAATCAAATTGTTTTGTGATTTTGGATCTGCATTTCCCTCCATCAATCTCAAGAATGAATCATATGTAAAACATTGTCTTAGCAATATGCCATGAAGTAAGCATAACATATATTACAGTATTCTCCATAAGCTAAGGAACTACAGTGCTATAAAAACATACACTCTGCTGACTGTTCCTTTTGCCATGCAAAAGCTCCTTAGTGTAATTAGGTCCCAGCTATTTATCTTTGTTTTTATTGCGATTGCTTTTGGGTTTTTGGTCATGAACCCTTGTCTAAGCCAATGTCTAGAAGTGTTTTTCCAATGTTATCTTCTACAGTTCTTATAGTTTCAGGTCTTAGGTTTAAGTACTTAATCCATCTTGAGTTGATTTTTGTATAAGGTGAGAGTTGAGGATCAAGTTTCATTCTCCTACATAGGGCCAGCCAATTACCCCAGCACCATTTGTTGAAAAGGGTGTCCTTTCCCTACTTTATGTTTTTGTTTGCTTTGTTGAAGATCAGTTGGCTGTAAGTTTTTGATTTTGCTTCTGGGTTCTCTATTCTGTTCCATTGATTTATGTGCCTATTTTTACACCAGTACCATGCCGTTTTGGTGACTGTGGCCTTATAGTGTAGTTTGAAATCGGGTAACGTGATGCCTCCAGATTTGTTCTTTTTGCTTAGTCTTGCTTTGGCTATGTGGGCTCTTTTTTGGTGCCATATGAATTTTAGAATTGTTTTTCCTAACTCTGTGAAGGATGATGGTGGTATTTTGATGGGAAGTGCATTGAATTTGAAAATTGCATTTGGCAGTATGGTCATTTTCACACTCTTGATCCTGCTAATCCATGAGCATGGGATGTGTTTACATTTGTTTGTGTTGTCTATGATTTCTTTCAGCAGTGTTTTGTAATCTTCACAATCTACACATCTGACAAAGGACTGAATTCCAGAATCTACAACAAACTCAAACAAATCAGTAAGAAAAAACAAAGAAACAATCCCAACAAAAAGTGGGCTAATGACATGAACAGGCAATTTTCAAAAGAAGATATACAAATGGCCAACAAACATATGAAAAAATGTTCAACATCACTAATGATCAGGGAAATGCAAATCAAAACTGCAATGCAATACCACCTTACTCCTGCAAGAATGGCCATAATCAAATAATCAAAAAACAGTAGATGTTGGCATGGATGTGTAAACAGGGAACACTTCTACACTGCTGGTGGGAATGTAAACTAGTGAAACAGCTATGGAAAACTGCAGAGATTCCTCAAAGAACTAAAAGTAGAACTACCATTTGATCCAGCAATCCCACTACTAGGTATCTACCCAGAGGAAAAGAAGTCATTATTCAAAAAACATACTTGCACACACGTTTATAGCAGCATAATCTACAATCGCAAAATCGTGATCAAATGCCCATCAATCAATGAGTGGATAAACTATGATACATCATAGTATACTACTCAGTCATAAAAAGGAATGAATTAACAGCATTTGCAATGACCTGGATGAGATTACAGACTATTATTCTAAGTGAAGTAACTCAGAAATGGAAAACCAAACATCGTATGTTTTCACTGACATGTAGGAGCTAAGCTATGAGGACGCAAAGGCATAGGAATGACACAATGAACTTTGGGGACTTACGGGAAAGAGTGTGGGGGCGAGGGATAAGACAACAAATATGGTGCAATGTACACTTCTCGGGTGATGGGTGCACCAGGATCTCACAAATCACCACTAAGGAACTTACTCATGTAACCAAATACCACCTGTACCCCAATAACTTATGGAAAAATAATAAAAAAAAGATTGAGGACAGGCATGGATGGTCAGATTCAGATTCTCTTAAAAAAAAGAAAAGCATGCACTGCATTTTTTAAAAAGTAAAATTTCAATATACAACTTGGTAGTTTAAAGATGCATTATGGGAAAGACAGAAAAGATAGGAAAGAAGCCCAAGAGTTTGAGACTGCAGCGAGCTATGATTGTGTAACTGCATTTCAGCCAGGGTGACACAGTGAGATTCTGTCTCTAAAAATCAATAAATAAATATATTCTAAAAACTTGTATACTACCCTCTTTTCCATCCCTTCCTCCCCAAGAGAAAACCTACATACACACATACACATTTAATTCTTGGGTTATTTCTACAATTCTTAAATGATTTATGCAAAAATCCTGAGGAAACTAGGAGCCCTCCATTCCTTGTTCCCAATCTCCTGAGTCAAGACCATTTCTTGATGTGATTCATGCCAAACACTGAAGACACTGTTGTATTTTGGATGGGTCAAATCTACTTAATCTTTTTTTTTTTTTTGAGACAGAGTCTCACTCTGTCGCCCAGGCTGGAGCGCAATGGCGCCATCTCGGCTCACTGCAACCTCCACCTCCCGGGTTCAAGCAATTCTCTGCCTCAGCACCCTGAGTAGCTGGAGCTGGGATTTCAGGTGCTCACCACCATGCCCGGCTAATTTTTTTGTATTTTTAATAGAGATGGGGTTTCAACATCTTGGCCAGGCTGGTCTTGAACTTCTGACCTTGTGATTGGCCCGTCTCGGCCTCCCAAAGTGCTGGGATTACAGACGTGAGCCCCAGCACCTGGCCAAATCTACTTAATCTTTAATCCAAAAGTAGAGAGAAGCAACTGGGGGCCTTCAGTGCAGAAAGTGGGCTCAGGAGGCTAAGTAAAGGAATATGAATGCTGATATCCAAGGCATTCAGGAACTTTTACACAGGTGCAAGAAACTTACATCAAAGTGGCCACAAGATTGTTTAATAGGAGACAGACAAATGAAACTCTATGTTTACTGCTAGACACCAAATCTTTGTGTGAAATCTTGAATTTATGGGGAAGGAGGGTAGCCTGTACCTGTCTGATATTTTTCCTAATCCCGACCCCTCATTCTTGAACTGCAAGAGACTGAGCCCCTTTGGGCTTCGGTGACCCCACCACTGGGGAATGTTTATTTGAAGGTTGATGTTGCTATACTGTCTACTTCTTTTCCCATCTTCTAATCATTTTTTTTTAAACACACATGCTGACTCTTTTCCTATCCCTTCTCCTTTTCTGGGGAAAATACAATGAATAAATAAAGATTTATTGGTACTGAAGTTGTTTAAAAAGAGGCAGGAAAGAGGTTTCATATTTTTAGTTAGAGCAGGGCAGTAGAACTAACAACCTATGTGAGAATCAGATTATTTTGTCCAGAGAGCTGAAGTTCTAACTACCATCATAAAGTATAGCTAGGTAACATCGTACAGCATGCAAAATATAAAATAAGCTTGTAAAGAGCACTACATAAAGTTAATATAATCTGCTGCTGAGGTGCTCACTATTATCTATAATATATCACCAAAAGAGAATGGGTGAGAACCTAAAAACCAGAACATAAGGCCAGATATATTTGCAGAATAGGTGGAGGTCTTTCTCTTTCACATTTGAAGTAATAGCTTAAAATCTAAGATGTAAAAAAAAAAATCTTAAAAATTTTTGGAGGGTTACATAATATCGGGAAAGATGCCTAATCTTTTGGCCTATCTGTGTATGGCTCGATCAGTTTACTCGTTAAAGACTGTGTAGTAAAGAATTTAACCTTGACCGAGGAGAGGTCTGGTCTTTACACTCAGCTTCTGGGAGTGATCTCTAGGTCCTTGGAATTTCATGCCTAATAGGAATGTCTTTGTTGCCTATGGACTTTGGGCACCAGAGACAGTCTAACAATGTTAGACTGCAGTTCAGGAATGAGGGGAAGGGATCACGAAAAGAACAGACAGGTATAGGCTACCCTTCCTCTCTCCCTGTTAATTCAAGATTTCACACAAAGCTTTGGTGTCTAGCAGTAAACATGGAGTTTCATTCATCTGTCTATTAAACAATCTTGTGACTACTTTGACATAAGTTTTTGCACCTGCATAAAAGTTCCTAAGTGAATTGGATATATATTCATATTCCCTTTCTTGGCCTTCTGACCCTACTTTCTTTTTTTTTTTTCTTTTAATGGGGTTGGCGGCGGATGGAGTCTCACTCTGTCGCCCAGGCTGGAGTGCAGTGGTGCGATCTCGGCTTGCCTGAGTAGTTGGGACTACAGGCGCCCGCCACCACGCCTGGCTAATTTTTTGTATTTTTAGTAAAGACGGGGTTTCACCATGTTAGCCAGGGTGGTCTCGATCTCCTGACCTCGTGATCTGCCCGCCTTGGCCTCCCAAAGTGCTGGGATTACAGGCGTGAGCCACTGCGCTTGGCCTTCTGACCCTACTTTCTACATGGAAGGCCCCCAAGTGCTTCTCTCTACTTTAGGATTAAAGATTACAGGTCAGCCACACTGGCAGTAAGTGTTTGAGTCCCAGTAAAAGCTCTGGATACCAAAGACTCAGGTGAGCATCCCCAGCTGGCATTACTCCATGTGTGGTATCACAAACTGATGCCAGAAGGGTGGTATGTCCATGTCTCCAAAGAGAGAGGACAACAGAAGTTCCTCATTTGTTACTTCTGTTAGACTCTGTCCTATGCACTTCCTCCCTTGGCTGACTTTAATCCGTATTCTTTCCTTGCATGAACAATAATCATGAGTATAACAGCCTTCTGTGAGTTCCATGAATGCTAGTAAATTACTAAACTTGAAGGTCATTTTAGGATCTCCTGAATTTGCAATTAGGGTTAGAAGTGAGGGCAATTTTGTGGAGTACTTGACATTTGTAGGTTGCTATTTTTTGCAGTTGGCTAAAACTCCTTACAGTTGGTGTCAAAAATAAGATTTTCTAGAAAGAACCTGATTCACTGAAATAAATGGCTTAGGAAGTGAAGAGAGGGTGTGGGATGATGAACCTTTGATCACTGAGTGAAGGCAGTGTCAACCACAGTATGGAATTGCTTCTGTACTGTGATTAGTTAATGGAGATAATTCCCAAAAAGTTGTCTCACTGGATGCATAAGGAGATGAAGAATATAAAGAAAGAAGCTAAACACACAATCTCTTGGTTATTGTTATCTATGCTAGCTAAAATGAAAGTAAGGGATACAATCCTACTCTATATGAATGGGAATAGACTGTGCAGGAGGAACTTGCTAAACTAGTATTACCAATGGCAATCTGAATTAGCACAGTGGCCAAACCTTACAACTCTTTAAAAGGTGGAAAAGTTTGGGCATAAATAGAGAGAAGGAGGAATGGTAGCTGAGGGTAAAGGAATGAATGGATAGGTTATGCAGTAAGGGAAATAATACTGCATTGGTATTTCCAAAGAGGTTCAGAACAAGAGATGACATTGTTTCTTAGCTCAACTGTAACAGATGCTTGAAAGAGTGGTCATATGTTGCTGAGACTACTCCTATTTTTGGAATCCAATAAGCCTGCAAACCTGATTAGCATCATTCTGGGAGACATTCTGGTCTGTTAATGTCTGAGAAGGACTCTAAGAATGTGCCAGTATCTTTTGACTTTTATTTTTTAGGTTATGGCTAAGTGTATTGGGAAATTCAATTAAAGCCTCCTCAGGATATAATGTCAATAGAAAATGACTGGCCTGAGGAAGAACTGCACTTAGGTAACCATCAGCTGATTTCTATGATATATAGTTCTGTACAAACATATCAATAGTATTTTTGGTAGTAGATTAAGGTGAGAAATTATTGAATTTATACAAAATTATGAAAATGTATGTAATGGCTTTAGTGGATGGATTAGCTATTTCTCTAAATCTAACCATACCCTACACTGCCTCAGCCAAATCTTAGACATATTCACACTGATACTACTGCTGTGTCTGTCACATAAATGCCATAGTAAATATAGATGCCCAGACAAACATGACTGTGTTGCTGTACAATAAAAAAAGTCTCGGCCAAAGGCCAGCAGGTAGCTTGTAGAGCGAAGAATTAACAGTACCCTAAGAGAGTCTGAGGGTAAAAGTGGTTGCCCTTAACTAGTTGGAGGAGATCTCTAGGTCCTCGGAATGTCATGTGTGACAGCAATGTCTTTGTTTACCTGATGGCTTTGGTCACCATACAATCTAACAATATGACTTATGATGGGGACTTTGGGCCACATGGTGTCAGTTCTGGAACGTACTGGAGACTAATGCTATCAATCCAATCTCTGGGAAGCACTAAAGACTAAAGGTCATTCATATGGGCAAAATATGATGAACTGCAACAACAACAACAACAACAAACCGAAACAACAACAACAACAACAACAAAAAACCTCTGGACATCAAAAACTCAGGTGAGCTTCTCTGATTGGCAATATTGAAAGTATATTATCATACACGAATGCCAGGAGAGTAAAGGATTCATGACTCTACAGGGAGTGGACAAGGGAAGCTCTGTGTTTGGTAGCATTCCTGGACGTTGTCTTATGCACTTCTTCTCTTGGCTGATTTTAATCTGTATCTTTTCCCCATAATAAACCATAACTGTAAGTGTAACAGTTTTTAGTGAGTTCTATGTCTTTCCATTGAATTACTGAATCCAAGAGCGACTTTGGGAATCCTGCAACTGGTATCAGAAGTGAGGGCAGTCTTGTGGAGTGCTCCAACTTTTTGGCTGGCTAACTTTCACAGCTGGTCAAAATCTCTTATACTAAAACATTAATATGTCCAGGTGATTTACCTGAGATCCTTTCTTGCTACCTGGCAGGTTAATTATGAGCGTTTTCCCTCTGATTCCACATACAGGCCTGAAAGAAAAGAGAAAGTAGATGAAAACTAAATTGCAATGAATGTCCGGTTTAAATACATTAACAACAAAGAACAATCATTTTACTTCACATGTGAACAACTGTTTTAGGAATAAAATTGTTATCTTAAGACATTCACTGCTTGCTATACAAATTAGGCATTCTGGTTGAAGTTTTTACATTATGGTTAGTATGGCAAATTGGAAAAAATGTACTGAATGTGGAATCAGAATAATTTACCTACTTTTAAGTAATCTGACCAAGTCTAATTGCCTATTTTGTCTAACTTCAGCTTCTTCATATTTTATACAATTGTTTAATAAGAGTTTGAGATAGTGTATTAAAAATGCTTAGTGCTATTTATGTTCAAAAGTCTAACACAAAAAGCACTTAAGATTTAGATTTGAGGTCTTGTTTCTCAGGAAGTCTGTAAGTTTTAAAGTAAAACAAGGTTTTTCACAAGTGAATGGCAGAAGGGAAGAGGTTGGAGAGCTCATTCATTAATAGACCCATTGATAATCGCAGGCATTTTATTTTATTTATTTATTTATTTATTTATTTTTGAGACAGAGTCTTGCTCTGTCTCCCAGGCTGGAGTGCAGTGGCGAGATCTCGGCTCACTGCAAGCTCTGCCTCCCGGGTTCACGCCATTCTCCTGCCTCAGCCTCCTGAGTAGCTGGGACTACAGGCGCCCGCCATCGCGCCCGGCTAATTTTTTGTATTTTTAGTAGAGACGGGGTTTCACCGTGGTCTCGATCTCCTGACCTTGTGATCCGCCTGCCTCGGCCTCCCAAAGTGCTGGGATTACAGGCGTGAGCCACCACGCCCAGCCAATCGCAGGCATTTTAAGCGAGAAAGGTCTTTCAGAGATAATTGTCAATTTCCAGGCCACATTTAAACTAACTGGTTAAGAAACATAAAAAATGGAAAAGCAGTGGAAGACTGGAGACAAGGATCAAAGGCCTAGATTTCATATGAGAGCTGGAATTATGCTGTCATTCACTGGCTGTGCTACTTTGATCTGGTAACATTATCTCATTTTCATAATTTGAAAACAAAGAGATTACGCTATTTTTAAAATTTTACAGTATTTTTAAAGTAATGTAAGAATACTCTTCCCCGAACGTCTTGAGTTTTTCTTTAACCACTCTTATTCTTTGAAATAAACTAAAACTGTCCTATATTTTATTACTTTTTCTTCTTGTCCTATTTACGATCTGAAAGAGAAGATTGCCATTTATTTACAACTTGCCATATATACAAAACTGTTTACTGCTGGCCGCCTTCTTACTAGAAAAACTATTCATTGTTTCATTAAAAACTTTAAGGCTATTTTATGACCTTTAATCTTAATGATATTTCTTCAAAATCTGTTTTAGTTCTGGCAGTCAGAATTGGATAAAGTACTTTAGTGACAAAATGGCACTGGGTAATTATATAGTTCTTAATATGTTCCTGTTTACTTGGGAATTTTGTTTTTCTTTCCAAACTAAAATGCTACATTGTACTTTTTTGTCAATATGATAGCTAATTGATTATATCAATATGATTGGAATGTCATCAATATTAAGTTCTCTATTTTCATGTAAGCAAATCTAGCAATTTACTGAATAAATCTAGAATTTTAACTAAGAGCACAATAACCCCTTATAGAATACAGTATTAGCTACATCCAGAAGTTTGTAGCACCTTTCCTTCTAAAAACTAGAAATATTATCATAACAATTACTGCATATTATCCTCCCAATATTTCTATGAAGGAAAGACAAATACAGTTACCTACAAAATATGGAAAAATAATTTGGAGTACAAAGAATTTGATTAATACATGGCTTTGGGATCTTTGTAACTTTATACAGTAAGTTCCTCCCATCCTGTGTTTATTAATGTCCATGAACTCATCCTTACTGACATCACTGTGACAATTTTATCACATATTATGAAATGTGCTGGATTTTATTTTCCAAGAAAGTTGTAACTCCCTCCATTAGAAGGTTAGTGGCAAGTGAAAACTTAGTTCATTCTTTTTATTCCAATTTTTGGTAATCAAATCCAGGCTTTTTATGTCTCCAATAATCCTTCACTTGCTCTAGGTTGACATGCTAGTGGCAGTTCTAATATAACCAACAGTTATATCCAAACCACTATGTTTCTGCGTGTGTGTTTATGTATGCATATGTGATATAATTAAAGGTTTTGCTATATAGCCAGGAGATTACATTTGTTACTTCCCATCAATTTTTTTTGCCTTTTATTTTGGCAAAACATGAGATCAGAGATTTATTTATTCTTTCTCATTTCCCTGAGCTCTTTGAAGTGTTTAAAAATTAATTTTGAGATATACTTTTTCACCTACAGAATGTCCAGAGTCACTGCAAGGAGAAAGTACTTCTCTTCTATATAATGCTTTAGGATTAATAAAGTATTTTCACAAACATTATATCATTCAATAATTTAAAACCTATAAGCTCCAAAGTTTTAGCATATTCCAATATTTATCAAATAGCTAAAGATCTGTACTAAGTATTATGGAATACATGCAACCCAAATGCTTAAGAAGTTTATAAATGTAAAATGTAGAACATTAAAGCATATAAACAACTACAACACAAGATAGTAAGTAGTAATACAAATTGGTATAAAGTACCATGGGTTAAAAAAAAAAAGTAGGCCAGTGTGGTGGCTCACGCCTTTAATCCCAGCACTTTGGGAGGCCGAGGCGGGAGGATCACAAGGTCAGGAGTTCGAGACCAGCCTGGACAATATGGTGAAACCCTGTCTCTTCTGAAAATACAAAAAATTAGCTGGGTGTGGTAGCAGGTGCCTGTAATTCTAGCTACTCTGGAGGCTGAGGCAGGAGAATTGCTTGAATCTGGGAGGTGGAGGTTGCAATAAGCCAAGATTATGCCATTGAACTGCAGCCTGGGTGACAAGAGTGGGACTTCATCTCAAAAAAACAAAAAACAAAAACCAAAAAGAAGGGCAGTTTAGGAGGAGGGAAACAATAATGCAAAAGCACAGAGTTATAAAAAGTACCAAGTGCATTTTGAGTGTATTGTCTCTCACCAGCAAGCATCCATTTGCTTACTTATAGAGGAGTAATGTGAGGTAAGAAGGACCAGCGGAAAGATGTTGCTGTCTGATAGATTAGTATTTTTCAGTTTGTGGTCTCTGGACCAGAAACATATAAATCATATAGGAATTTGTTGGAAAGGCAAAATTTCCCATACTACCCCTACCCCCTCCTCTCCGTTGCTGATATATTGGATAAAAAACTGTGAGGGTGGGGTCCAGTAATCTGTATTTTAACAAATTCTCTAGTTAACTCTAATCCATGGAAAAGTTTGAGAACTGCTGTGATAAACTGTGCTTGAATTTTGGTACTACTATTTACTATTAGTGTAATCCTGTCTTCATCACTAAACTTCTTTAATCCTTAGTTTCCAGAACTTGAGTTGTTAAAAGGATTAACATAATCTTTGAAATATAATGTACAGTATACTCTAGTACATAATAGGCATTGAATAAATACTTGGTCCATCTTTCCTTTAAAAAAGTACATTAGAATTAGACAGTAGAAGTCATGAATTCACTGTAAAGAGCTAGAATGTATTCTTAAGGCATTGGGGATGATTAGTGGATTCTGCTATTACTAATATTACAAAGCACTATTTCAGGAATAATAGTCTAAGATGAACTGAAAGGGGATGACAGAAGATATAAAGAAAAGAAAGTCTGATAATAACAAACACTAAATACAAGTTGACTGATTCTTCGTTTATTTTCTCTCATGTATCTGATTCAGCATGTTACATAGCGCCTTGTTTTTGTTTATGTATATAAAATATAAAACATATTTTAAATAAATGTAAATGTATATGAAGCAAAAATCCTTCAGGAACAATAGGAAGGGCATTTTAGTCTTAGGTAAGGGAGGACAGGAGTAGTCAAGAGAAGGCTTCTGTAAGGAAGGAAAAATCTAAGCGTCTGCCTGAATAACCGGTAGGTGTTATACAGAGGTAAAGAGGGGAGGAAGAATATTCAAGGCAGAGAAAATGGCATGTACAAAGTACTTAGAAGCTAACAATAGAACCTGATATGTGTGGTAACAACAACGAGTGTGCGTGGAAGCTGATGCAAAAAGCAGCAGTGACAAATTATATAGGCCCTGGAAGGTAATCTTAAAGAATTCAGTCTTTATCCATAGACTTTTTCTACAGTGGAGAGAGAGATTTTGCTAAAAAATTTTGAGCAGAGAAATAACATACTAATATGTGTATTTTCAAAAGATATTTCTGGCTGCAAAGTAGAAAATTTTTTGGAGAGTTGCAAGACAGGAAGCAAGGAATACAGTTAAGATAATGTCAAAAAATGTAACAGGTGAATTAGGGTGGTTGCAAGGTGATGAAGAAAAGCAAACAGGTTATAGTTAAGTATATCCTGACCCACAGACTATATAATGGGATAGTTACCTTTTTATTCTATTTTTTTTTGAAATTTTAATACAAAAAGAGTAATTTTTAAAAACAGGACATATTTGGATGAAAACTGGTCCTAATTTAGATTTACACTAGAAGTTCAATATTCTATGTTAAACTTGATCACAACAGGCATGAGAACAGAATAATATGAAAAATAGTGCTTCTCTTAAAATTTCTGTTAAAATTAAATATACAACAAGGTATGACATGTATAAAACAGACAATAACAATAAAAATCCCACTGATGTGCCTACTACCTAGGTGAAGAAATACACTATCACTGATACCTTCAAAGAGTACTGTGTGCCTTGCCCTGATCTCAAGTCCCTTCTCCAAGTAACTATCATCCTGAATTTTAAAACATTCTCTTACTTTCTTTGCAAAACAGCTCTATCAATATAAAATTCACATACCATACAATTTACCCATTTAAAAGATACAATTCAATAGTTTTAAAAGTATACTCTCACAGAGTTGTACAATCATCCCGGTAATCCATTTTATAACATTTTCATCACC